GTTGGCCGTTGACCTGCTAGACTACAAACTATGAGAATAAAATTAGCAGGCCCAAATTGCATTTCAGCTCTAAATCAAGATTTTTAGCGTTCTGCAAAAATAGTAGAATAGGGTTTCTCAAACTTGCTGAATTCAAAAAAGACGTTATTAAAATTCTATCAAACATCTTTCCTTACCATATTGATTTGAAACGACATCAAGTATGAGTTTGTAGGACTTGTAAATGTCATTTTTGAATTCAGCGAGTTTGAAAACCCTAGTGTAAAATTTTTTAAATTCTGAAAATATTGGTTTAGAGCAGAAATATAGGAGAAACACAATTTGGGTCTGCTAGTTCTTCTTCTGTAGTTTGTAGTCTAGCAGGCCAACGCGCACAAGCAAGGGAAGTTGGTATGCTAGACTACAAACTACAGAATAAACATTAGCAGGCCCAAATTTCTTTTCAGCTCGAAAACAAGGTTTTCAGATTTTGAAAAGTGCTATAATAGGGTCTTTGAACTTGCTGAATTCTAAAATGACATTTTCAAATCCTTAAAAGTGTAGTTTGTAGTCAAAAATAGCAACTTTTCAGGCCTGGCAATGGGATTTTCCTGAACTAGAAATTGACAAAAGTGGAATTGTGTGGGCCAGTGGAGAGCCAAAATCACCAAAGTAATTTTTAATATTTAGATTTTTTTAAAATTAAAATTTAAAAATTTTTTTCCGAAAATCAAAAAAAAAAACTTTTCAGCCTGTTTGCTTATCTGGATATAACATCAACTACGGCGGTTCTAATCTCTTCCAGCGCTTCTCAAACGGTTGATGGACAATTTTGCTATGTCCCGTCTTGAAAAATTTGATCTGAAATTTTTTGTCTAAAAATAAATTTTTATGAATTTCAATATTTTGGTTAAATTGAACAAAATGTTTTTTTCTTTTTTTTTATGCTTTGAAGATATTTTTGATGACGGTTTTTATGAATTTGTTTTTTCCATGACAGGACCCGGCACGGCCCGCTTTGGGCCCGTCCGCATGTATGTTTTTTTACGAATTTCAATATTTTGGTTTAATTGAACAAAATGTTTTTTTTATTAATTTTTATGTTTCAAAAGAATTTTTATGGGGGTTTTTATGACTTTGTTTTTATAGTTTTTTCAGAAAATATTTAAAATTTTTTTATTTCATTTTGTTTTTTACAGAATTTTGAGACTGTCACCTAGGATTTCCGGTACACTTTCAGATTTCTTAATAATTTTCTCTTTTTCCAAAAAATTTTTCTCCCGATAAGACCTGTAAAATGGCGGCACAAAGTAACTACATTATTCTGAATAGTCACGAAATTACATCAGCAGAAAAATTTTCGAGTGTTTTCTGTGCAATTATAATCAAAAAGAGCAGAAAATCATTTTTTTTAAGACTTTTATTTTTCCACTAATCTGGATTATGCTCTTCTTTTTTCACATAAGAACATAAAAATCATAAATTCGGAAAACAGAAAGAACAACTTCCCAGCACTGTGTGTACCGGAAATCCTTGAAAATCAAAGTGAAAAGACACAATAGAACGCATAGGTCTGCTAGAAAAAAATTTTAAAAATCAAGAAACCTGACTTTCAGACCTCCAAATTATCACACTTTCAATTCTCAATTCTGCTTGCTTATCAGTTTAAATGTTGCAACTTTTTGAGTTCTTTGATTTTTTTGGCAGAATAAAGAAAAGTGAAAATTTTAAAGTCATTGCTCTCTCCCTTTTCGTGATCCTGATAACAAGTTTAGTATGATCATTATTTTTTAATGACCTAGAAAGAATTTTTGTTTTAGGGTCACAATTTTTGGAATTTAAAAAAATTTCAGAACAGTTTTTTTTTCAGAAAAATGTCTACTTCAACTTCTGAAACTCCTCAAAAACATACAATTGGATTGATAACAGCGATTTCCTATACCGTTGGAGATATTGTGGGATCAGGTGAGACATTTTGAAAAAAATTTTTTTGCAATTTTTTTTCAGGAATTTTCATCTCCCCAACTTCAATTTTGAACCATGCTGGATCAGTTGGAATATCGCTTTGTTTATGGGCTCTTTGTGCATGTATTTCACTTTTTGGTGCATTGTCCTACGTGGAATTGGGTACCACAATACGAAAATCTGGCTGTGATTTTGCATATTTATCACATTTTGGGTGGTAAGTCAGTATTCTAAAGTTTTAAAGAACTTTAAAATTTTGAAAAAGCCAGAAATTCAGCATTTACAAATTTTCTCAACAATCCGAAATGTTTAGAAGCTCCAAAAATTCCAAAAAAATCCCGAAAATGGATTTGGAATTTCTGAACATTTTCACTTTTTGGGGAATTTCTTGGAATCCAAAAAATTCAAAAAGACTGGAAAGTTTCAAAAAAGAGAAATTTTGAAAAATCCAAAAAAACCTGAAATTCCAATAAATCGAGAAATTCCAAAAAGTACAAAAATTCCGAAATATCCAAAATATTTCAAATTTAAAAAATTTTTAGAATTTTCAGAAAGTTTTCCCAATTTTTGGAATTTTAGAAATTTTTGGAATCAAAAAATACATCAATTCCCGAAAATTCCAAAAAATGTTTTTCTGAAAATAATTCTGGAAATCCAAAATTACGAAATTTCCCTAAAAATCAAACAGTCGATGAATTCCGTAAAATACAGAAAATTAGAGGAAATCCAAAAAAATCCAAAAAGTCCTGAAATTCTCAAAAATTCAAGAATTTCAGGAATTCCATAAAAATCTGGAAAAATATTCGAAAATTCAAAAAGTGTAGAAATTCCAATAAAACCCAAAGAATCCAGAGTTTCCCAAAAATCCAAAATTTCCAGAAAATCAAAAAAAATTTTAAAAAAAAATCAAAAGTCCGATTCTCCGAAATTCTGAGATATCCAAAAGTTTTAAATTTTGAAAAGAAAAGAAAATTCAGAATTCCATTTTTTGAATTTCAGGCGTCCCTTAGCATCATCTTTCATGTGGGTATCCACATGTCTTTCCTATCCAGCAGTACTGGCAATTCAGGCAATTTCATTCGGGGAGTATATTGTAACAGGTCAGCTTTAAAAAAATTTTAAAATTAAAAAAAATTAATTTTCAGGCCTGGACAGTTGGATTACTGTAGATGAACCCTATCGATTTATGACTTATCGGTTGGTAGGATTCTCAATGCTATGTAAGTTGTAGTTTGTAGTCTCTATTCTCAATTTGAAACATTTGCAGGGCCTCTAATGCTCCTAAACTTCTTTTCGCTGAAAAAAGTTGCTGGAGCTTTTCAAATTGTGGCCACTGCTGTAAAATTAATCGTCGCATCAGTTATCATTTTCACCGGACTTTATCATATCATTTTCAAAAAACAAACCCAAAATTTCAATAATTCATTTCAAGGATCGGATTGGAATCCTGGGAACTTAGTACTGGGTGTGTATTCGGGACTTTTTGCCTATAATGGATGGGATGTGCTCAATTTCGGAGCCGAGGAGATTGAGAATCCGAGAAGGTGACTTTTTTAAGGAAAAAAACAAAAAAAATCAAGAAATATTGAAAACATTTGGCGGAAAACAAGCGAAAATGAGCTTTGGGTATGCTAGACTACAAACTACAAAAACACAACATTAGCAGACCAATCATGCTCGTATTGGCCATTCGACAGTTGGGTCTGCTAGACTACAAACTACACATCAAACATTAGCAGACCAATCATGCGCGCTGTAGAAATTCGTTATTTGAGTATGCTAGACTACAAACTACTTTTCAAACATTAGCAGACCAACCTTGTGAGCGTTGAAGATTAGTCAGTTGGGTCTGCCAGACTACAAACTACATTTCGGACATTAGCAGACCCAAAAAGTATTTCTCTCATTTTCAGCTCTAAAAGAAGATCTGGGAAATGCTAGACTGGGGGTTTCAAACTCGCTGAATTCAAATATGACATTTTCAACAATAAAAATAGAAAAATTGCTCTGAAAAAAATTGCTCTCAAAAATTAATTTTCCGGGTCTCTCCGGTAATCGGTTTCTAACCAGTTTCGGGCAATTTTCCAACCAGATTCGGGAACGCGCATTTTCCAAACAGATTCGAGTAAAATTCCAACCAGATTCGGAAAGTTTTTATTTTTCCACATCTGGTGATTTTCTGACCAGATCCGACCGAGAAAGCTAATTTCCCAACCTGATTCGGACAATTTTCTAACCAGATCTAGCCATTTCTGCTCTGGGATTTTCCCGAATCTGGTTGGAAACCGATTACCAGAGCTGCTAGTCAACTACAAACTACAAAATCCTTACAGAACAATGCCAATAGCTGCTATCAGTGGAATCGCCATCTCCGCCACTGTTTTCATCCTTATGAACGTCTCCTATTTTTCGGTTTTATCCGTGGAAGATTTTAAAAACTCGCCGGCGGTGGCAGTGGTAAATATATTGGTCTGCTAAATGACTACAAACTACAAACTTTCAGACTTTCGCCGAGAGAACCCTTGGCGGTTTCCACTACGCCATCCCGTTTTTGATTTCATTGCTTTTGATAGGAAGTATGAATACCACGATTTTCGCCAGTAGTCGTTATATGTATTCTGGAGCGCAGAGGTCGGTTATGCCGAGTCCGTTGAGAGGGATACATAACAAAACGAGAAGCCCAAGATTGGCAGTTTTTGCAGAAGTGGGTCAAAATAATTTTTGAACTAAATAATTTTTTAATTTTATGTACTGATTGCCATTTGCCTGTCCTTCATCGGCAACCTGGACCAACTAATCAGCTATATGTCATTCGCCCTATGGTCCCAGAGAACTTGTACACAGGCCGGATTCATTTATTTCAAGCTTCGTGGCAATTTGAAGACTAAAGACAGCTTTGAAGTCCCAATTTTCGTGCCAATTATATTTTTTGTAATTTGCATTGCTCTTCTAGTTATTCCGATCACTCAGGTTAGTATTTAAGTCTGCTAATCCTCCTACAAATTACATTTTTTCAGAACTACCACGTGGCAATCTACGGGCTCAGCATGACTGCGGGTGGAGCCCTAATTTATATTGTGTTCATCTATCCCAAAGTGCTACCGAAATTTTTATACCAAATTAACAATTCGATTGTTAAGTTTTCGCAAATTATTTTTAATTGTGTCATTGAGAAATTCGTTGATTCTAGTGAAGAGGAAGACGAGTTTTCAGAGGAATCTTCGATTCTGAAGCTCAAATTTTAATTGTTTTTTTGATTTGTAAACTGTAATTTCGCCAGGTGTCATGAATAAATCGATCTTTGTCTGAAAATCCCTTGAAAAATCTGAAAATATCATTGAAAAACGCGTTTCGCGCCAGCTGCACGAGAAAAGCGCCAATGCACCAAAAGTGCGCAAACAGATTTTCAACCATTTTTTTTTCGCATTTGTATCTTTAAAAACACTATTTTCGATGATTTTTTGTTATTTTTTCGAATTTCCGGCTTAAAAGTTGCTTTCTCAGCGAAAAATAAGGCTTTAGGCTCAAAATATTCATGAAAAATAGCGGAAATCGCAAGACTTTCTATTAAAAATCTTTTCCCCAGTTTTTAGCTTTATAAATCTGTAATAACATTCATTGTTCCGCTTGTTTTTCTTTGCCTTTCCAATTTTCCAACCTAAAAACTTCCAGATGAGTGGAATCCCTGATGACCTAATCGCCAAATTGGAGAAATTCGACGATCTTTTAACAAAGCTCGAGGACGCCGTCGACGAGATTGATGTAGGCGTTGAGAAGCATTATGAGGTACTTTTACACGAACTTTTGAAGATTTTAAACTTCAAATTTCCAGCGAAACGCTCACGAAATGGCTCTGGTGGATTCGGTGAGCATGTTTCTGATGGACAGCTTACTATGGGCGACACAAGCGACAAAAGGGGGTGGAGCCGATAAAAACGAGGAATTGCTAATTGATTTGGTAAGTTCTGGTCTGCTAGCTTTATGTAGTTTGTAGCTTTCTCGTTTTCAGGCCCGAACAAAACGAGTAACTGCTGATATGAAAGAGATCAATCTACGACAAGATGCCCCACGAATTAATAAGCAGGCCGCCGGAAATTTTGTCAGAAATGCTCTTTGGGAGGTGCCGGACCAGCAAAAAACGACGACAGAAAAGGAAGTAAAAACCGAGGAAAGCGCAAAAAAGTGATAAAATTTCTGGTCCATTGTTAATTCATTGTATTTTCTTGTTGATTTTCCTTTTTTTCTGTTTTCTCTCTCTCCCATTCTATTCATTTAACGGAAAGTTTTCTCAATTTTTCCCCAATAAAGCGATGAAATCGCACCGATTTCCATATAACAATGCAAACGCGCTCCATCGCACTTTTTGTTGCCTTGTCGTGCTGGATTCCGATTCTGGCCGTTTTTCCACGAAAATCCTGTTGAAACCTGGAAAAAATTACAGAAGTAGATCGCCACGTGGTCTAGAGTCGCTTGATTGATGCTCTCCGAGCTCATTATCGCCGGCACACTCGTCATCAACGCGTTTGCTGTTCTTAACTTTAATTTGTAAGATTTTATATGATTCTGAGGTTGAAATAGCGAAACAATCTATTAAGAACAGCAGTAAAATGTTATCTGTCAGCTGGAGAAACCGGAAATTTCATCGAAATCCCGAAAGTATCAAAAAATTGTTGAAATTAAATTATTTAATTTTTCCAAAATTATCAAATTTTTGTTTTTTTTTTCCTACCAGAAAATCGAAAAAAGCTAACTTTCTTCAACTGAAAATAGCGCTAATTTACCAAAAAAAGCCTCGAAAAAGTGAAAAAACCGAAGAATCGTGTTTTTCCCGATTTGGGTCTGCTAATGTTTGACTTGTAGTTTGTAGTCTAGCATACCACTTTTTATCCTATATTGTGAAATTGGCCTGCTAATGTTTTCTCTGTAGTTTGTAGTCTGGCAGGCCCAACTGACGAATTTCACATGAGCGCGTAATGGATCTGCTAATGTTTGGCTTGTAGTTTGTAGTCTAGCCTACCCAAAATCTCATTTTCGTTCGTTTTCCGCAAAAATCCTTCATTTTTTTCGCGATTTTTATTTATTTTTTTTGCTTTTTTCTACCAGAAAATCGAAAAAAGCTAACTTTGTTCAACTGAATAGCGCTAATTTACCGAAAAAGCCTCGGAAAAGTGAAAAAAAACCGAAAAAATAGTTTTTCCCCGATTTGAGTCTGCTAATGTTTATACTTGTAGTTTGTAGTCTTGCAGGCCCAAAAGTCATTTTCGCTTGTTTTGCCCAATTTTCTTCGGTTTTTCTCGATTTTTTTTTGAATTTTTCACATTAATTGTAGGCAAAAAGTAAAACATTTATGCCAGCAAGCTGGTGCGCGTTCGGCGCGTTTTATCTAAAACCTGCCTAAAATTGAGAAAAAATCCCTTCGCTGCAGTGGGTCAGCTAGAAATGCATAGCTTTTTGCTTAACAGCAGTAATTTATCGATTTTTCAGATCCAAAAATCCAGAAGACGTGTTCGGAGTCGTCGAAACGAATCAAGTCGACTCGCTAGGAGATAGAATCCGAAACTTCTTGAAGTCCCTTCAATACTTCCGCATCTTCGTGGCAATTTGGAACATCTTCATTATCTTTTTGATGCTCGTTTTCTTCTCCCATTAAACATATAAAAAATGCCTGAAACTTTACTTCATTCGGTGAGTGTTTCTTCAATTTTCCCATCAAAACCTATTAATTTTGTTCAGAAATACTTGTCCGGTGTGCCAGCTGGCCGAAAAAATGGCGCTCGAAATTCGAAAGACGGAAAAATCGAGGAGAAGGAGGAGAAAGAGTTTGATTTTAGTAGAAAAATACGCGAGCTACGATTGGAGTTGGAAATCAAGAAGAGGGAGGAGGAACGGATTGAAAAGGATATCGCCATTATTCTAGAAGAGAATACAATTGGTTAGTTTTGAAAAAAACGGCGAAAATTGAGTTTTGAGGGTTTTCGGCATTGATCTGCTAATGTTTGGGTTGTAGTTTGTAGTCTAGCTGGCTCAGGGAATTTCTGTGGCGTTGGCCTGCTAATGTTTGGGTTGTAGTTTGTAGCCTGGCAGGCCAACTGACGCATTTCTAATTCGCTCTAGATCGCATTTCTAATTCGCCACAGCTATGAGAGCTTTGTCGTGTTGGCGTGCCAAGACTACAAACTACAAATATAACACGCTGAATTTCTTCAATTTGGCCAAAAAACTTGAAATTTGGTGGAAACTAGATGAAAACACAGAAGAAAATGAGATTTGGGTATGCTAGACTACAAACTACAAAACCAGTGAGATCTTCAAAAAAAAATCGCCCATTCAATTTTACACCCTCACCAATTCAAAAATAGGTCCCCACCATTTTTTTGCCTAAGCCTGAATTTTAAAATGTTTTAATTTTGGAAGTTCTGATAAGAGATACATAGCTGAAAAGTATTTTTCAGAAAAAGTTCCCAAGAAACAAGGAAAAATGGTGAAAATTGACACAAATTCCAAAAAAATCGAAGAAAAATTTTAAAAAAAGCTCAAAATTTGCATAATGACGGTTACGGTACCCTTCACACACCACAAACTACGCAAAAGTGGGGGTCTATATTTGAATTGGTGGGGGGCTTTTTTTGAACTGTTCCAAGTGTATAGATTGTTGGAGAGGGGGGGCTCTACTATGGTTTATTTTGGGGGGTTATACTTGAATTGGGGTGAGGGCTATATTTGAATTCAGCCGATATTGGTATTCTAGACTACAAACTACAAATCTAACATTAGCAGACCAACGTTTTAAAGGGCTTTTAGTGTTTTTTCACCCAACTCCACAATTTTGAACACATTTTTTACAGATGGCGGAGAACAAAATCGCTCATTCGGTCTCGCCGTCACTCGTCTCAACAACAATATGCTTGTCGTCGAAAATTCGGCGAAACAGTTGACCAGCGCTCTCAAAAACATTTCCAGCCTCGCTGACACTATCAGTGGGCGAGTTTCTGCGTTAGACGTCGCCAAGACACGTGTCGTTGGATGTCTACAGCTTGCTGGGGATATGAGAGATTTGGGTGTCTGTGCTGAAGGAATCGACGACGCCATCCGATCGGAAGACTTTGAAATCGCATCTCAACACATTCATCGCTTCCTGACTCTTGATCAGGCGGTATTTCAAATTCGAGAATTTAAACAAAAAGATGCCACCGACTCGATTCGACATAGTTATGAAGTGCTGTCCTCCGCTAAAGATCGACTTTCAAAGATTTTGAAGTCTCGCCTAACAGAAGCTGTGCAAAAAGGAGACGTTGCTGAAATGCAGCGTTTCGTAAAATTATTCCCATTGATACACGAGGCTGACGAAGGTCTGCAGAGATACTCAGTGTTTTTGAACCAGAAAATTGATAAATTGGCGGAGGAGAATTTGGCGGTGAGTTTTTTTTTGACTACAAACTATAAAAATCCATATTTTAGATCATGCGAGCCGGAGGCACGGATGACAATCGTCGGAACGTTCTGTACGCTGACACGCTCTTCATGTTCTTTGAAGGCGTCGCTGAAATTATTGAATCCAATCTTCCAGTGCTAGAACACTCGTATGGGTTGGAAAAGTTGTTGGATTTTATGTTTATTCTTCAGGTTTGATTTTTTTAAACTAGGTTTTTTAATCTATCAAATTTTAGGCGAGAATCGACGAATTCTTCAGACGCCTCATCGAAGAATTTGATACACGTCGCCGTTTGTCTCATCTGAATCGCCAGGTTGCCGACGTCGTTCATCACAAAAAATTTACTGCTCCAGAAGGTTTAGAAGACGTGCCAGATGCACTGGAAGTTGACGCCATCGCTTCTGAAATCTGCATGATGAACACGTCAGTAGAGATGTATTGGCGATTTGTGTCACGTCGAATAGGAAAGAACGATGCGGACCTGGCAAGAAGTCCCTCTGGAGATGGTGATGAAGAAGAAGACGAAGAAGCGCGTCTGGAAAGACAACGTCTTCGAAAAGAGGCGAAGGAGCAGAAGATGGATCAGTTGTTGAATAGAAGTCGTGTCGGGACGAAAATGCAAGAGTTGATAGGTCATTATTGTCTTCTGGAACATTTTTATATGATGAAATCGGTCCAGAAGGCGATCAAGTCTGACGCGAAAGAAGACGTGGGAACATTGACAAGCTCCCTTGTTGATGACGTCGTTTTCATCATTCGTAAATCCATCCGACGTGCTGCTGGATCTGGAAACGTCGACAGCGTCTGTGCTACTATTAACAACGCCACAGCTCTTCTGGATACAGTAGTCCATGGATCTCTCCATCACGACATTCAATCTGGATACGTCACGTCTTCCAATTTCGCTTCTGAAGCATTCATCGCCTACCAGCAAGGAAAACAGGTCAAAGAAGCTGCAGAATCTCAAAAAGAGCAATTTTTATTGGCCGTGAATAATTCTGCAAAGCTCTCCGAGCTGCTAATTGAGCTTCAAAAGGGGCTGATATCCGAATGGGCAGGTGTTAAACGTCCGGCAGTTGAGAAGAATAAATTGGAGCACTCAACGACGCAAATCGAAGAGTCTGCTAGAAAACTGGCTGCGTTGGCGAAACATGGGGTTGAGGAGCTGTTCAAAAGTGCATTTAAGAGTAGGATTCGGCAAGGGTGAGCGTGATTTTTGTAGTTTGTAGTTTGTAGTCTCTCATAAATCAAATTTTAGAGCCGACCCATACCAAAACATTGATCGTCAAATGACAATGCAGGATGTCGAGTACTACGAGGCGCACGATCCGTTCATGGAGCACTTTTTGGCTCAAATCGATCGGCTACTAGTGGAAAATGAGCCAAATCTTTTCCCAGACAACTATCAGACGATCCTACTGCTCACCGCCACGGAAATTGCTCGGCAAATCGAAGGAGCCGTCGCGAAATGCCAGTTTAATCGATATGGAGCACTTCAGTTGGATCGGGAGTACCGACAGATATGCGCGTACTTGACGAACGTCGCCGGATGGTCGGCGAGAGAGAAAATTGGACGATTAGGACAGGTTGGTATGCTAAATCTGTTTAAACTGCTAAAAATGGCTGAAAAAAAAACAAAAATAGTGAAAAAAACAGTAAAAATTGAGACAGTTTGATTTTTGGGAGCTAGTGAAGTTGGACTGCTAATGTTTTGGTTGTAGTTTGTAGTCTAGCAGACCCAACTGACGCATTTCTAATGCGCGCTAGATTGGCCTGCTCATGCTCGGGTTGTAGTTTGTAGTCTGGCAGGCAAATTTTCACATAGCCTATTTTGAGGAATTGGTCTGCTAAAGTTTGTTTTGTAGTTTGTAGTCAACAGGCCCACTTGGAATTGGCCTACTAGGCTACAAACTACAACTCAAACATTAGCAGACCCCTTTCTCCTTTCGTCTATTCTGGTGAAATTGGTCTGCTAATGTTCATTTTGTAGTTTGTAGCCTAGTAGGCCAATTCCAAGTGGGCCTGTTGACTACAAACTACAAAACAAACTGAAATCAAACATTAGCAGACCAATCCAGCACACACTAGGAATGCGTCAGTTGGTCTGCTAGACTACTAATTACAAATGTAACATTAGCAGCCCCTGCATACGCGCACGCGAAAGGCGTCAGTTGGTCTGCTAGACTACAAACTACAAGTTAAACATTAGCAGGCCAACACATAAGTAAAGAAACCTCGATTTTTCACTACTACAAACTACTACTACAACCTACTACAACCTTCACTACTACAACCTTCGAATTAGCAGACCAAAATCATCAAATTTTCCTTTCAGATCGTCGCCCTCCTCAACGTGGAAACCGTCGACGAGGCGATGGAAGTGTGGCACAACTCGAAAACGATGACGACGTCCACAATTCGAGCTCTCTCACTGCCAGAAGTTCGAAAGATTCTGGCTCTTCGCGCCGATTTTCCTACTGTAGCTATCAAATCAATCGAGTAAAATTATAATGTCCCCTTATTTATTGTTTTCCCTTAATTATTATTTAAAAATCATGTATATTCAAATATTCAAATGTTTATGGGTGTTTTGTATGTGATTTTATTGAATCCTTTAAAATTAATTTTTATTGAAAAAATCAAATTTGTTGTTGAAGTAGTTTTATAGGCCAGCCAGGCGACTGCTATTCTTGAATTGGCAATTCGATGGATCGTACTCCTTTTCCAGTTTCTCTTTTAATTGCTCCTCATGCTCTTTTCCCCGCACCTCGATGACCATTTTGACTCGTTGACTAGACATGTCGTTTCTCATAAATGCTCGTTCCTAAAATAATTAAGTAATTAGCCGCCCAATTAAGTCCCAATTACCAAGTACAAATCCCTCACATTCCCTTGTAAATCTCCCACCAAACCAGTCAATTTCGATAAGCCACCTGGCTTGTCCGGAATTATTACCGATAGACGAATCACACGATGATCATAGGCCAATCCTAGAAAAAAGTTGGGTCTGCTAAATAATTGCGTAGTTTGTAGTCTCCCTAAATACCTCTTTCAATACACCTTCCCAACGACGTGCTATCAATATTGCCACCCGACAAAATCGATACGACGGTTTTGCCTTTTAGATAATCCAATTTTCCCGATAGAATTGCTCCGATGCCAATTGCTCCGGCTCCTTCGCAAACGATCTGAATTTTAGAAAAAAAAATGCCGCGTGGATTTTTAAGATTACTGTAGAAACCTACTTTTTCATTCTCAATTAGGCGAAGAATCGCCACGGCAATGTCGTTTTCAGGCACGCTGATCACTCGGTCGATTTTTCCTAAAATTGGTCTGCTAATGTTTGATTTGTAGTTTGTAGTCTAGCAGACCAAACTTTTCTATGTTTATATTGTA